TAGAGTATTCCTAGTCAGTATTTTTTACTTCTCTAAGAATTGGCTTTTGGTTTCATTGGCTTGCTCTCTTGTTTTTAGTCTGCTATTACATTTTTTCCCACTCTACTGGTTATAATTTCCTCTCTTCTGCTTACCTTGTGTTTAATTTGCTCCTCTTTTTCTGGTTTCTTAAGGTAGAAGCTGAGGTTACTGGTTAGAGAACTTTCAATCTAACATAGTATTTACAGCTATAAATTTCCCCATAATCAGTTAAGATGTTTCAGTGACATGGCACATATTCTTTTTTAAAATTTTATTAATTTCTGTTTTCCAGCCCCTCCCCCATTTTTATTGTGATATAATTGACATTATAAGCACAAATTCTGATATGGAGAGTTTTCAATTTTCCTTTGATTTTTTCTTTGATCCTGTTCCTTAGAAGGTCCTTTCAGAGCTCTTTTCTCTGGCAGGTAGATTAATCACCTGCCTGTCCTGATCAGAACTGAATATTTGAGAGGGACCTTCTGCAGATCTTCTGAACACCCTCTCTTTACAGACTCTATTTCCTAAGACTCTGTCCTGGAAAGCTCTGCCTTGCTTGATTTCCATGGACTCTCAGTGATAACTCCTCAACCTAGGGAGATGGCCTATGCAAGGGTTTCTGCTTCCTGAGCTACAACCTTCATTTCCTTATGTCCATGTCTTGAAAATTTCTATTTCATGTATTTTTTCAATGGTTTGAAAATTTTGATTGGGAGGCTAAACCTGTTCACTCTTATTTCATGTTCATTAGAAGTAGAAGCCAGCAGTATTTTGTTTTATTTTGTTTATACTTCAGTATTGGATGTTAAAATCAACTTACTATGCTATTGCGAGCATAAAAAATAAACTGCTATACAATAGAAAATATAATGTCATTATAGTCCATGTATTAAGAATAAATAATTTTTTTGTGAGACTTTTTAGTTATATGCATATATGCACATGTGCATTAGATTGTAATATAAAAGGCATTCTTTAGTGTGTGTCATGGTAAAAAAGTTCAAGAAATTTTGATCTGGGCACATCATGGCCTGGTACAGGCTGCAGTCTGTAATGCCTGATCAGGGAAAAATTATCAATCGGAATTATTGGGGAAATTCTCTGAAAAATGTTCACCAAATTCTATAAAATTCATCATCATTTCAGATCTGACAACCCTAAAATGATGTGTATGAAATATCTTTGTTATTGCTCAACCAGGGTGTCCCAGGCACTGTACATAATAATATATTTTTTTAAAGATTTATTTATTTATTTATACAAGCACTGGGTACAGTCAGAAGTGCGGGAGGGTGAGAGAATTCACCAGAGCCAGAGTGAGGAACAAAACAGGCAGACTGACAAAGAAACACACAGCTGAGGGGAGCAGCGGCCGTGGCAGGAGAGGTCTGCGGGCCATGTGGGACCCTCACCGGTGGCTGGGGATAGAACCAGCACTGCAGATGCTGCGGGCAGCTTCGCAGCCCAGCGCTCAACTGCTGCGCCACCAGGGGAGGCCCTGTACATAATGTTGAGTGACCAGCATGAAAGAGCCACAGACCTTCCCTGGCTCAGTGCTGGAATGTATCTGGATACTAGAGGAGGCAGGAAGTATGGCTTTAAGAAGTTCTATAAGAACTCATTGTGCAGGGAAGATTCAGAGGTTGTGGAGATGGAGGGAGACTGGGCATGGGGGGCATCATTTCAATGAACTTGAAGGTTTAAAGAGAAAGTGAGAGTGTAAAGGCCCATTTGAGGAAACTCAGCTTTAGCTTATTTCATTTATTCATCAAACACACATTTATTTTAAAACCTACTATGTCTTTGAGATATATCAATGAATAAAATAAATATCCCTGCCTCCCAGAATCTATATTCTACTGGAAGAAATACAATAAACAAGTTAGTAAATGACCTGTTAAAAGATAAGTACATGGAAGAAAAAGAGCAGTGGAGGGTCTATTAGAAGTGGGCTCTCTGATCTAATTTTAAGCGGGAGATATTCAGTTGGGCATATTTAGGATCTTAATATGATAGTGGTGTAATTAAACGTTAGATTGTAATACGGATTCTAAAAATATTCTAATACAATTCGAAACTTCTAGTCTGAAAATCATTCTAAGACTATTGGTAATTTGAATTCTGCATTGACCTTTGCAACCAAGGGTGCAAGTGGGTGATTCCTGAGAAAAATGGGGTGAGGATAGGGTTGTGAGAGAAATGTGGGCAATTATGCACACACTCCTCCCCCAGGTGTCCCACACGGGCAGCTCCAATTAAGGACAGTGACAAGACTGGCAAAGAAGTGTTACTGTGTGATCTAAATCAAGACATTTTTGCCCTTGGTTTCCCTTCCTAGGCATGTCTTCACCCAGCAGGGGATGAGGCCTAGCAGAAAAACCCTTCAACACCCAATGCACATCGCAGGTAGTGACTATTGAGAGAGGTAGACCTGCTGGTTTTGTCTTTGGGTCTGTGTGGTCTGCATCAAGATTTTTCGAGTGTGGCCTAAGGATTTCCAGGGTTACACTCAGCGTCTGGAGTCCTACAGGATGCTTTTCTGTCCCTTTGTAAAAAACAATTAAGGTGTCACCAAGATCTGAAATTTATCTTGACCTTAGGGTTTCTAGATTCTCCTTACCCCAACCTCTGTGGGCAGATCAATGCCCACTGTGATATTTTGGAGAGATCCCTTCCCAGGGCCCTCTCTCACGGGGAGAAATGCCCGCCTTTTCCCAGCTGGCTGGAGCGCGCAGGCAGGGCAGGGACGCGCACGCGGCTAGAGCCGCTGGTTGCGCATCTGGAGCCATTGCGCGCCCCCAGTGCAGTGCGCGCCGCGACTGTGGCGGTGAATTTGTTACTGAGCGTGCCCGGCCCTCTCTGCCCGCGCGGGGGCACCAGAGCCCTCAGAAGTGTCAGGCACTGCGGCGCATTTTCCCAGTTCCCTTTTAAATGACTGCGGAAAAACAGACTCTCCGAACCGCAAATGGGAAGACGGATTCTCAGACAAGGCTTGCAATGCCCCGCAGCCATCCTTTAACTGAGTCCGCAGAGCAGTTACGGTTTATCACCAGACCATCCCGGATCGCCTCGTTTGTCCCTAGTGAGACCCCAAGGCTCTGCCGGCGCTGGGCTTGCTAGTAGCTGGATGCTTGTCGTGCTTCGGGCAGCGCGGGCGTAGGGCACGCGTTCGCGCACACCCGCGCACACACCAAAACGCGCAAGGTACGACAGGGGCGCAAGGGCTCGGGTGCCCCGCGTGGGGGTGGGCATCGCGGAAAGTGAAGCTACGATTAAGGAATGGCTGCATCCTGCCAGGTGGAAGAATGAGTAAAAATGACGCGGCGCCACACAACCGACAGGCCAGGCTTGCTGCCGCGCATCTAGGGACCCCAATACGCTTCAGGCGCGCTCCCTGCCCTCACATGTCTATTTTCCGGACGTGTGATGCCAGCAAACGGCAGGAAAAAGACCCATTTAGAGAGCTAGACCTGCATTTGGAGACTCTCCTCCCTCTGCAAAAGCACCGACAGGAAGATCCACCAAAACCGCCGATCTCCAAATAGCACGGCATTGCGGCGTTATCGTTGGTTACCAACGTTGAGCACGTTTTGGTGTTTACAAAATTTATTTATTTATAGGCTAGCTCGTCCTTTTATGCAAGACGGGAAAGGAGAGCGCAGCCAGGAGGGAGAAGGGAGGGAGAATTCCTATAATAAGCATCAGCGCATTTTTCAGAGCTGAACCCAGCCGGGTTTCCATTTCAAAAAGGAGGCAGCCTCTACTGCGATTGCAGAAGAGCTCGCGATGTGAATTAGGGACCGGGAGACATTGAGCGGCGAAACAGTCCATCTCGGAGGTACCTGGAACTAAACACACCACACACACACACGCACACACGCACACGCGCGCGCACAGAGTCGTGCGCATCTACACGGCCAGGATGTATGCGTGTGCGCGCGTGTGTGCGCGTGTGTGAACTCCCACATGCTACTGCTGTCTGCTTCTGGCCAGTGGCACTGATGCTTGCCTCCTCCCCGCTCGCCCCCAGATTCCCCTCCCCTCCCTGTTGCTTTTGTCTGGAGGGTGTTATGGGTTTGTGTGTGTATGAGCGTGTGTGTTTTTGGATTTCAGACTAATTTTCTGGAGTTTCTGCCCCTGCTCTGCGTCAGCCCTCACGTCACTTCGCCAGCAGTAGCAGAGGCGGCGGCGGCTCCCGGAATTGGGTTGGAGCAGGAGCCTGGCTGCTCCTTCGCTGGGGCTCTCCACGCTCAGTCCCCGGCGGCAGGAGGAGCCTGGACCCCGGCGCCGCTGGCGTGCGGTAGGCGCCAGAGCCCGGGTGAGCAGCGCGGACAGTGCCCTCCGCCGTCTGGGCCCTCACAGTCCCCCCTGGGCGGCCGCGGCGCTCCCCAGGTGGGACGCGCGGCGCCACCTGCCTGCGCCCCCTGCGCCCAGCGGCGGTGGCGGATTCTGCAGCATCATTGGGGGCCCCCGTCGCGGAGCCATCGCCTCTGGCAGTCTCCGGGTCCTCCTTTCAAGGGTCCTTCGCCTGGCCTGTGCCATGGAATCCTGTCTCGGTGACCCTGGTCCTCTCCTCTCTCGAGCTCAGGCTTGGAGAGAGGGTGGGCGTATTGGTGACCCCAGCGGCGCAGTGCCACCGGGAGTCAAGTTCATTTCTGGGGCCAGAGCTGGGCATGCATCCATCCACAGTCTTCCGGTTGGGGTCGGGTTGGGGGTGACGCTAGCGCGCAGGGAGAGTGCCCCAACGCACTGTGTATGCGGTCCTGCGCTCAGTCTTATGCCTGTCTGTTTGTTCTCAGCCCCGAGGTGCGTCCGGGATCCCCGTGAGCTTCTGGCAAGAAGCCTGCATCCCAGAGAGTCCCGGGAGTGCCGCCGGCCGGTGCCCGGCGCGCCGGGCCATGCAGCGGCGGCCGCGGGGGAGCTCTGAGCAGCGGTAGCGCCCCCTGTGTGGCGGCCGGAGATGCCCCTACTACAGTGAACCGTGCGGCCCTCTAGGACACGCTCAGTCGGGATACGCCAGGCTCAGCGCGCGGGGTGGCAAGAACTGAGGAGAGCGAGCCCTGAGCGCGGCAAGGGCCGCCCAGCACCCGCAAGGAGGCCGGCTGGGGCGCGTACTCCGGCTGACTCGCACTGGCACTGGATGCTAGGGATGGTGTCCTGGACGAGGTGGCATGGACCTGCGATGGCGAGGCTCTGGGGCTTCTGCTGGCTGGTTATGGGCTGCTGGAAAGCCGCTCTTGCCTGTCCCACGTCCTGCAAATGCAGCGCTTCTCGAATCTGGTGCAGCGACCCTTCTCCTGGCATCGTGGCATTTCCGAGGTTGGAGCCTAACAGTGCAGACCCTGAGAACATCACCGAAATGTGAGTTTCTGGTGCTTTTACCCTTTCCTCCTCCTCCCTAGGCCGGGGCTTGCTGTGAAGGCCCCTCGGGCATGAATGTTGTTTCAATTCCGGAGGAAAAAGCCAAGAGAAGAGATGCAAGGGCTGGGCCATTTGTTAGTTACCTGTGTGTTTCATTGACCTGGGGCTGCTAACAAGGGGAACGGTGTGACAGTTTAAACTAAGTTTTAAATATTATATGTATTCAATAGATACATTCCTTGTGTGAGAAGGGATTCCATATGCACTTTGTATTTCCGTGTCTGGATGTGGGCGTACTTTAAGCCTTCCATGTGCACTAAGTTAGTTTTGGACATTTTCGTTTCAATAGGGTGCTATGTGTATGTTGTGTTAGGAGGAGTTCCAGTGATATTTACTGGGAAGGAGGTTAAAATCATTAACTTTTTTGAAATCTGTTGAAGGTTACAGGCTCCACTTCAACATCTTTCTCTGAAGTTTAGAGTTCACCAATTTCCCTTTTCATTTTATATATCAGATTTTGCTAAGGAGATTGCATCCAGAGATGGCCTTGAAAATGATCTGTAAGAGGAGAAGTTCTGAGTGTCGAAATGTACTGGCTCAAAAGAGAAAATGTGATCGCTGGAAGCCTAAAAGCCTGGTCTGATTTAATTTGGATTTGACTTCCCAGAGATACAATTTTGAGACCATTTGGATTATAAATCTTAATTCCTCACTGAATAATTTCCCAGGACTGGGCTTGGATGATAAAGCAGTGTGTAGTGCTGTGATGAAGGTGGCCTTTAGCATGAGACTCCTAGGTCCTAAAAATGTTTGAGTTTATCCTGGTCTGATGGAGAAACAAAATTGTTTTTCTGTTCTTTTCCTCTGATGCCTTGTGAAAAATACATTGCCACGTAGGAATTCACCTCCTTTCGCTAGCATTCCCCCTGTCACCTCTTTTATATAGACATATAATTATATAAATTAGAACTATATATATATATACACACACACACTATATTACATATATTAGAACTTAACGAGTTCAAATGTTTCATTATCATGAACTTTTATTCATCCCTGTAGAGGATTATAAGGCAAAGTTTATCCTGACTTCCCCTATGGTGTCTGACACTAAGACAGTTACCCCTGAAAGTAGGGCTTAGGCTGTGGCCTTCCGGTTGGTGAGTGCGCATGCATTTCCTCCACCCTTCCCCACCGAAAAAACGCACACCCATTTTCAACCAAGGTAGGCCAAGACAACCTGTTTTTTTTATGTAAGTAAGAGACCTTCCTAGTTTCTGTTGTTTGTTTTGCTGGTGATGCTCAGGTTGGAAGGCTCGGGCAGAAGGAAATGACAACAGAACATTGGGGACCCTCTGGCTAGCAGAACTAAGATGTGCTGGGAGCAGCGACAACTGTCAGACTGGATCAGGATGCTTGGGTCACAATCTTTTTGGCAAAGAGAGCTTCAGGCAAGGCTGCTGCGGAAAAAGGCTGGGTAGGGCCCCAACTGTGCTGGCCCTAGGCTGGGCTGGCAGAGGCAGGTCAGAGAGTTTCTGGTCTTTTGTCAGGATCTGTGTGTCTTTTTCAAGAGAAGGGGTATTGGTAGTCAGATGAAGGAGGCCATATGAATTCACAGCCCTACCGACTATTTTGAAAAATGAGAGCCTTTGTATAATTAGATGTCATGTTTTTGGTTTGCTTTAAAATTCTGTGTTAAATGATAGATACATGGTAGAGGAAATGAAATAGGGCTAATCATTTTTGCTTTAATATTTTTTGCACTTTACTATTTTTAAGGCCTTAATCAGAGAAAAGGAAGACTCTTTAAATTTAAAAATTATTATTTTAAACCTTAGTGGTCTTTGTTGCCTGACATATATGAAATCAATAGATTTGCCAGAGCTTTCTTAAATCAGTTCTCACAATTGCTGTTTCTTTTATTTCTGATGGCAAGTTCCTATTTTCAGGCATTTGAAAAAAATTGAATTTTAAAAGTATCAAAGCATTTGCCACATTTATTCATTCAATAATGGCACCATTAATTTCTACTTGTATTTTTTTCCTTTTGATTTAGAAATCCATTGAGACTGAGAAGTGTATAGGGATAAGTGACCAGGATGGGGAACTAGGTTATTCACATTAGGCAAGCTGGTAGAAAAAGAATGTTTCTTTGCTTTATCCTTCAACTTTGCTTGAACCCAGACAGTTTGCATCCCACTGTCTTTATCTGTAAAACATATCAGAATACTTGTTTGGAAAACATTTCATATAATTATTTTGAATTCTGTTGTTTTGATGTCAAAATGATACTAGTGGCTGAACTTGTTTTTCTCTTATCCTTATATGACACTATCTGTGATCTTTCTCTTCCATATTAATATTTGCTTGAACAGCTTTTAAATTAGTGGCCACTGGATACCAGCCACATTTGGAACCATATTGGACACACAATTTTTTTTTTTTTTTTACTATGTTGATAGGCCTAATGGTATTCCTTAAATAACCTGTGGTAGAGTTCTAGTTTAATGGTGTTTAGCTGAAGTTAAAAGTTTCTATTTTTTTAAAGGAAAAATTTAAGTGAAAAAACCTTGTGATTAGAACTTACTGAAACAACTGAACTTTCTGTATTGTTTTCAAATAGTGTTTGTTAATATCTATATATTGGGAGAAAAGTACAACCACTGTACCTTTTATAATTCAGAGACAGTCCTTGAAGGAACATTTGAAAAATATAGGTACGGACTAATTGACAGGATTTTACTCCTGTTTCTACATGCATATTTTAAGCCAAGTTGACATTTCATTTTTAGAACCATTGTTTGAACCCATTTTACTGAAAGTCTTCCCATTACTGTATATTGCATTCTCTTCACCCACTAACTTAATCTATATCTACAGCTCTGTATTGCTCTCAGTATTATATATCACGCTTGCCCAGCCTCACGCTTGGGATAGTGCTAGACTCTGTTGTTTGGAAATGGTTATACTAAGGCAGTGCTTAGTTAAATTTAAAAACAATACTGCTATCACATAGAATTGGGATTCAAGAGTAAAGCCAGTTGGAATTATGTAATCAGCCATTTAAGTCTCCGTTGTAGCAAGTACCAAAATGCATTGCAAAGGGCAAGTTCTGTTTCACTCAAGTGGTAAAAGGCTTGGTTAAAATAGGTCATGCATTTTTTAAAAACTGTGTTCACAAACACATCATCTTAGTCATTTTTCAGTGTACTGTTCAGTAGTGTTTTGTATATTGTCTTTATTTTTTTTGTGAAAAGCATGGATTTTTATATTGCCCACATAGGAAGTCAATGATGACCAGTTTTTCCCCTGAATTTCTTGGGTGACAGTCTCTGATTTTGGGGTAATATTTGGAGACAAAGCTAATGTTTTTCTTCCTAGTATAACATAAATAGAACTCGCAGCTTCTGCTGCCAGGGCTCCTGTGTACAATTTATTGTTGGCTTGGGTAAACGACTGTAATGTTATATCATTAATACATTGATTTTGGCCCTCTCACCTTAGTAAGCTTTTCCACTGCAATTAATTGTACTAAGAAAACCCCCAAACCTTGGCATTCATAAGGATTCAGTGAAAGGTCTCAGTTTTATTACTCTGATATTTACTGATCAACTCATCAGGGTTCTAGAACTTTGGATTGTGCTTTACTTGCAGTTGAGAACTGCAGAATAAAATTTGACTGTGTTACATAAGCCACACTGGACTTGTTAATAAATAAGGCATTCTAATTTACATCATTCATTATTTAACACAACTTGCAAACTGGGCTTCAAATGTGCTGTCTTCACAGTGAAGGTATTTCCAGAATCCAGCTCAGCATGACCATTTGAGGTTTTTAGTTTTGTACAGTCAATCTCTGCATTATGGAGGTTTTTGTTACATTGGATAAAACAATTGAAAAGCTCTAAGACCTTTCTGACCCTGCTTTCTTTCACCTCCCCCTGCATCACCTCTCATTGACTACAGGAAAATGTGTTTGATTTTTTTCTTCTCTGAAAAGTGATATTTCCTTATGGGAATTCAAAGTAGTAGAGTTAAGAGAAGAGCCTGGAGTGTATGTTATTACTAGCAAGTAATGGGAAGTTGAGATAATGTGGTCTCAGCTCCCCAGTGCTGAGTTTAGTTCTGTTTAAGATCTTTCACTGTTTCTATCCCATAAACCTCTGTTTGTGTTTCTTTCAATATTCCCTTGTAAAGAAGTTTTCTAAGCTGAAAAGTTGGCTGAACAGCTGAGAGTTGAGGTCTTTCTCCCTAGGAACATTCTGTATGATCTCTTTGACGATATCTAGGTCATAGGAGTATAAAACCTAGAGTTTTTGTTTAATTGGGGAAAGGAAATTGAATTTCTTTTTATTTTCTTTTCCTTTTTTTTGGGTTTCTTTTTTGCTTATGGTACCAACCAAGTACCTCAGTTTTAACTCATTGCTCTTCCTGCCTACTGGAGAAAGCAATACCATCAGTGTTAACACCACACTGACCTGACTCAGCTTTACTGCTCCTCCAGAGAGATTTCTTGTAGGTTCAGAACTTAAGGGTAGAAGGTGGCATTGAACTTGCTGCCCCTTGAAGTGGTGCCAATATTTGGTTCCTCTTGGTATTTATAAACCAGTGGATGATTTGGGGGACAGGTTATTTAGACAGGACACACCTTTTGCTTGTTTGATGTGCATGAGAGAGATGGAGAGAGGAAAGTACTGAACTTTGGATTATTAATAGCTGATTGATCATTTTTATAATCTTCTTGGTCAAACTATTTTAAAACACAGATGCCACCATGCCTCCCCTAGGTGGCTCATCTCTGAGCTCTGCAGGCCCTGGCCATTTTAGTTCTATATTTGATTGCTGATCAATTTCTATTTAAGAAGGCGAAGATCCCGCATAATCGGGAATCTTCTTACCACTTACTTTGCTCTCTGGGCTGACCAAAGGACTAGAAAGTCATAAATATTGATCTGAGAGATGTGAATGTTCTTGAATGTTATAACCGTGGGAAGAGA